GGACAGAGACCCAGAGAGAGAGGGAGTCAGAGACTCGGTGGGGTGGGGGTGGGGGACAAAGACCCAGAGAGAGAGGGAGTCAGAGACCCAGAGAGAGAAAGAAAGGGGGACAGAGACCCAGAGAGGAGGACAGAGACCTAGAAAGGGAGGACAGAGACCGAGAGAGAGGAGGACAGAGACTGAGAGAGAAAAGGAGAGACAGAGTGGGTGAGATGTGGAAGGATGCTAGACAGCCAGAGGTGGGACCCTGGGGCTGCCATTCTCAGCCCCTCCCCCAGCCTTTTAAATTCCCTAATGACTGTCATTTGTCTCTGGGTCTTGGCAGCTCCATCCCCAGACCACGTGGTGACTCAGGAGGCCTGTCTCCTGCACTCTCCGTCGCTCATGCCTGGACTGGCTCCCAAACCACTTTCCTCCCAGCTGTACCTGCCCTGGCCTTTCCCTGCCTGGACACCTGCCTTGGCCTTCTGTCTGAGCTGGTCCTTAGCTCAGGTCTGTGTTTACACTAGGGCTCACTATCTGAACTCCGGCATCTGAGTCCACATGCCCACCACTCCCCGTGTGCTTATTTGTTTCCTGGGAACTGGTTCCACTAATGGGTCCCACCGCTTAGGGTTTCTGCCTTGGTCTAGGCATTAATAAACCGGGAGAGCAAAATGCACAAACTGAGGACCTTGATAAACATAAAAACACCCTCTTTTAAAAAATAATCCTGTGGTAGCACAGGGATAAGGAGTCCCTGGGAGGCGCAAATGATTAAGTGCTTGGCTACTAACTGAAAGGTTGGCTGTTCAAATCCACCTGAAGCCACCTGGGAAAAAAAGGCCTGGTGATCTACTTGCAAAAACCAGCCATTGAAAACCCTGTGGAGCACAGTTTTATTCTGACACACATGGGGTCGCCATGAGTCGGAGTCGACTCAACAGCAACCGGTTTGTTTGTTTTTAGCATAAGGATGGAGTAGCACAGGGGAGTTTTTCTGTGATGATAAATGGCTCTGTGTTTTGATTGGAGTGGTCGTTACTCAAATCTATACCTGTGATAAAATTGCATAGAAACGCATGTTCGCGCATACACACACAAATAAACATATGTAAAAATGGTGAACATGAATAAGAAAATTAGAGGACAGCTGACTATACTAAGGGTTTCAAAAAGAGAAAATAAAAGAGAGGTTATGTATTAGAAGAAAAAAAATTCAAGAACATTTAGATTGGAAGGATGTGACTTTCCAGATTAAAAGTGTCCACGGAATGACCAAGATAATAAATAAAAATAGACCAAGGCACCTAATTGTGAAATTCTAAAGAAGGAGGAGGAGGAAGAAGAAGACAAAGAAGACAACAAAGATAAAGAAGAAGAGGAGGAGGAGGAAGAAGAAGTAGAAGGAGGACGAGGAGAAGGAGGCGAAGAAGAGGACGACAAAGAAGACAAAGACCAAGACCGAAAATCCTAAAAGATCCCAGAGTTTTTAAAAGGTCACATACAAAGACTTGGGAATCATAATGATATGAGACTTCTCAACAGCCATGTTGGAAGCCAGAAGACAATGAAAAAAAAAAATGCCTTCAGAATGCTGACGGAAGGTGATTTGTAACCTAAAAGTCAATAAAAAATAAGAACTACCAAAAAAAAAAAAAAAAAAAGGTGAACAGAGAATAAGATCAGTAGTCTAGTTAGCAGTATTGTGCCCATGTCGATGTCCTGGTTTTGACGTTGTTATTGGGTGCCATCAAGTTGATTTTAAACTCATAGCGACCCCATGTGACAGAGTAGAACTGCCCCATAGGGTTTTCTAGGCTGTAATCTTTAGGGAGCAGATAGCCAGGTTTTTCTTCCATGGAGCTGCTAGGTGGATTTGAACCACCAACCTTTCAGTTAGCAGCCAGGTCCCTTAGACTACAGTTATATAAAATGTCCCCATTTAGTGAAGAGTACCTGGGACTGGGACTGTTGGTACTATTTGTGCAACTCCCTGTGAGTCTAGAATTATTTCAAAATAAAAAGTTAAAAGCCAGACAAAACAGAAAATAATTTCCAGGTAAACACAAGGTTTCTGTCTTCCTAAATAGAACACTCTGCTTAAGCAGAAGGCTTTTGTGAACCCAAGGGAGCCTGATAAAAAGACTGGGATGCAACAATGAATAAGGCTCAGGTAACTGCCTTACAGAGTCCCTGGGTAGTGCAAACGAGTAACATGCTCTGCTGCTGACAGAAAGGTTGGAAGTTTGAGTCCACCCAGAGGCACTTGGGAAGAAAGCCCTGATGATCTACTTCCAAAAAATCAGTGCCAGAAAACTCTATGGAGTACAATTCTACTCTGACACACATGGGGCTGCCATGAGTCAGAATTGACTCAATGGCAACGGTTTATTTGATTTTTTTTTAAACTGCAGTCCCCATCACAGCACTTAACACCTCACACTATCATTGCAAGCTTTCTTCTTCCTTTCCCACCAGACTCTAAACGTCTCGGGCATCTTGCCATCACTTCACCCATGCTGTTGAGCACAATGCTGCTATTTCATGTCACGGGTGCACAATCAATACTGGTTGAATGAATCAGTGAATGAATTGAAGAGTTAACAAACTTATGGCCAGAGTTCCTGACCTCAAGGGACTCACAGTCTCATGGGACAGGCCAACAGGGCAACAGACAACTCAATCTGGTGTGATATGTGCACTGCTGGGGGACGTAGAGGCACCTGATGGAGCCCCAAGAGTGGGGAAAGCGTTCCCAGAGGGCGGGCTGTCTAAGCCAAGGGTGAGTAGGAGTTCAACAGGGGAATGGTGTGTGGTGAGGGTGGAAGGGAGGTGAGTGCTCCAAGGTAGCAGCCTGTGAGCAGGAAGATAGTGACAAAGTTCAGAAAGCTAGATGGAGGAGTGGCCAAGCCAAGCGGGGAGGCAGTGATGCAGGGGCTTCAATTTTACCCCAGGGGTGATGGAGGGTGTTCTGAATAGGGCAGAGAAGAGCCCTTCAGGGTACTCATTGGGAATTCAGGCCTGTAGCCTAAGAGAGGGGGACTTTGGTGCTTCGTGGTAGAATTCCCGCCTTCCATGCAGGAGACCTAGGTTCGATTCCTGTCCAATGTACCTCATGTGCAGCTACCACCTGTCAGGGGAGGCTTGTATGTTGCTATGATGCTCAACAGGTTTCGGCAGAGCTCCCAGACTAAGGTACACTAGGAAGAAAGGTCTGGCAGTCTACTTCTGAAAAATAAGCCAATGAAAACCCTACAGATCACAACAGTTCAATCCTGATGTGTATGGGATTGCCATGAGTCAAGGGCCAACTCCATAGCA